TAATTTGAATTACTCGTCGCGCTCGGCCGGCTCTCAAAGGCCGCGGGAAACTCGTTTGTCGCGCGCGATTCGCGTTTATACTCCCGGCGCGGGAAATTCCTGGGGATGAGTGGAGCAGAAGGAAAGAAGGAACTAGACCGGCGGTGAGTAAAATGAAGAAGAAGAAGAAGACGAAGAGGAAGAGGAAAATGAAGGAGAACCAGAAGAAGAAGAAGAAGAAGAAGAAGGAAGAGAAAGTAGAAGAGAGCGGACGTAGCGGGAAGGAATCGTCGGTGAAGATATATGACGCGACGTCGTCGTCGTCGTCGTCGTCGTCGTCGTCGTCGTCGTGGGTAAATTGTAACCGAGTTGACTCTTCCGAGTGTAAACGCATGACCGGCGGCCGCACTGCACTCGCGCGAACCGCGAAATAATCCCGTCGCCGTTCAAGATAATTTCGCGGCCCTTTTAATAACGATTCCCTCTTCTCTCCCTTGTATGCACTTATACATCTCTGCGCTCTCTATCTCTCCCCTGGAGAGTCTATAACCCCGGTATTCGCGTATTCAACGGATAATTTTATAAGCGAGCGCGCTTTTAATAGCGATTCATTCAATTCCGCGCACGAGATTTCTCGCGGAAAGATGTATTTTCGCCGCTTATACTACCCCCTACCCGCCCCATCGCCGCCTCCTTCCACCTTCCGCAGTTTTTTCGTCGCCCTCGCCCGCGGATCCCTCGGGGCAATTTCACCGAGCTCGCTAATTAACTTTTAACAGGAACAAATAAATGACGCAGTCGGGTTATAAACCGAGCGAACTCAGTTTTTGTCAAGCAGTCCCGAGAAAACGCACGAGAAGAAGCGTCTCTCTCTTCCCTCCCCTTCTCTCTCTCTCTCTCTCTCTCTTTCCTTCTTATTTTCTTTTTCTCTCGTTCTTGTTCTCGCCATTGGAGAGAAAATCGTAAGAAGAGAGCGTGTTACTCTCGGTTTCCTTCACCGTCATTTGTTCTCGAATACGCGAATAATCGATATCTCAAGTTTGTTAATCCCTCAAAGTAACGTTCCTCCCTGTCTCTTTCTCTCAGCCAGCTGACGCTTTACGCTCGTTGTGATTGTTTCATTTACGGTCCATCACGGTCAAGCTGCATTTCCTCAAGAGGATCCACTTCGCGGTCGCCGCGTCGAAATTCCGTACAAACCCTTTCCCCGAGAGAGAACCGCGACGAGATCACGCGCGGATAACACGCGGACCGTCTCCGCGTGTAGAAGTCGTTAATTACCGGTGTTGGAGCCGAATGTCGGACAACCGAGCGGGAACGTTCGGGGCCCTCGGCGTTCTGCCCACGAGAGATGCACATTGATCTTCCGCGGGACGGGAAAGGTGGAGGAGCGATTAATCACCGCGCGATGGACGTCGCTCGCGCGCGCGCGCACAGAAACCTTCTCGACAAAGTCGATGCCGTCAGCCGTCGCCGCTAACGAAACACGTGTCACCGGCGTTAAGTCGCGCGAACCCGGACGAACGACACGCTCGTTAATCACCGGCACTATTGGCCGTGATGGATTAAAACCGACGGCGTATCCGTGTGCGACGCTTTCTTTCCTCGGGACCAGCGTTGTTTCCTTCATTCGATCATACGCGTTCCCCGAAGGTTCTCCGGCTGCTTTTATTTTTCCCTTTTCGACGAGGGTTCCCTCGGCGAGTTGTGACGTACGAAAAGTGACGAGTTGCGGACGAGTCTCGAGTCTTATTGTCTTTCTCGCGGGGTATTTTTCGCAGCGAGTTCAGCTGATCGCGCAGCTATCAGCGACGAGTCGAGGCACCTCTCCGCGTGAGAACGGGCACCTTCCACGTTTCCACCATTTAGTCCGCGTCGAAGTATCGAAGGGCGCGTAAAAATAGCCACTGCGTCGTGTCGCCAATGATATATTGATGGGGCAAATTACGATGTCGGTCGTGAGTGCTTACGCTGACGTGAGAGCGAACGAGCGTTCGTGACATGACATTATTATTATTAGACCCAACGACTATTGTTAGAGAGTCGCATTGCTTTCGCGTTTAACGCTGAGATCGCGTGACGTACGACCGAGAGCAGCGGCGTGGAAGTTGGCGAACTAATCGCCGGGATGTAAGATAATATTCGCGTGGGTCGTGGACTAACAGTTAGCGCTCGAGTTGCTGTTGCGCCGAGATAAACCTTCGCGATCGAACGTTTCACGCGTCATGCGCGTGAAGCCAGAGCTCTCGGGACGCCGCGGCGGGGTAAAAATAAAAGAGCGGATAAAAAGCCGATATTAATAACTCGATAAATGATCCACGAATTATCCAGAGAGCGTGACCATGTATATACGCGTACGTGTGGAGCGCTGATACTAAATGATGGCTCGGGAATCCATCTATACCTCGGCCGAAGTACTGCAAGAATGGCGCTGGCATTCGGAATTTTGGGAGGAGTATCCGCGCGCGGAATGCAAACTTACCGCTCATATTTCTGGTCCGAGATAACTCTTAGATTCTTTCCGTCCCGAACATCCGCGTAATGTGCAAGATTGATGCGCAAGATATACCGAAGGAAGCATATTTCGAGGAGAGGCGAGCGTGAGGAAATGGAGGATCTATCCGACGCAGAGTGAGAGATAGTGAGAGGGAGAGAGAGAGAGAGAGAGAGAAAGGTTAGTACTTCGCAAGGCCGTTCCGTTATCGGACAATTGAAAATTCCGACATTTACGAGAGATAACCGTCGCACACCGTGATAATCGATCGACGTTCGACAAGCACTTGCGCGCGCGCGCGGAAATTCCTCGTTAGACCGCTCGTCGTGTGATTCTTTTTTCCTTTCTTCGGAATATAATAAGAAGAGACTTGTCGGGGGCGGAGGAGAGGAATGATATTCACCCACGTAGCCCGGAGAGCGACGGCGAATCCGCGAGGAGAGGGAAAGGACGGAGAGAGAAAGGGAGTGAGAAAGGGAAGTGACACCGTTGAGACGGCGCGAAGCGGAAGCGGAAAGACGAGACACGAGCCGACCCCCGGAGTCGAGTAATAAATGATCGCTATGAATAATAACTCGGTTATTGAAAGAAAATTCCGGCGTGATACGAGCGCACCGAGTTTTCTCCAACTCGGGGCATTAGCTCAGTTCTCGGATAAGGCAGCCACCCCCCGCCTCGCCAGTCTCGTTCTCCCCGCGTGCCTCTGCCGCAGATTCCACTCTCCGACCACCCATTTCGCCTTGCTCTCTTTATCCCGCGAAGCCACGTCCGCATAATGGCTATTCAGATATCGAATCGATTTATTTCCCTGGGGGCTTTCGGAAACTTCGCCCGGCCCTGTGGTGAACTTGGAATGGCTATTTCTCTCTCTCTCTCTCTCTCTCTCTCTCTCTCTCTCTCTCTCTCTCTCTCTCTCTCTCTCTCTCTCTCTTTCTCTCTCTCTCTCTCTCGTATACTCTATCTCTCGTTTTTGCACTGCACTTCGACTCTCCGAGACACACACACAGCGAGGATCGCTGTACCGTAAAATGTTCATTGGGTCACATTCGTTTCTAGCGTGCGCCCGGTAAATTTTTATCGTCGCAACGCGTTTTGTGGCGCCCGCCCCTAAATCGACTGTTAAGGGAAAATACCCGATGTAAGTTTGCGCGGAGGAGGGCGTTCAATTTATGTCCACCGCTCGGCGAATCGAACATTTATTTGCGTGCTTAAGCATCCCCCGCCTCTCCTTTCTCTCTTTCTCTCTCCCTATTTCTCTATCTATCTTTAGTGTTTTTTTCTGCACAAACAAGGGCAACATCTTTGTGTCTTAAACAATTTATTTCGAGAGTGAGAGAGAGAGAGAGAGAGAGAGAGAGAGAGAGAGAGAGAGAGAGGGAGAGAGAGAAGGGGGTAATTCCTCGGTCAGGCAATTCCCGTGCGCAGTTGAACGGCCGTGTATGGTCGATTTAATTATACGAATAAACGGATAGGTGGCTGTGGAGAGAGTTAGATTCATCAGGTAGATAATGGATGTGTGGGTAGATTTATCCGGTCAGATCAATTATTAAAGAGATTTCGAAATAACGCAATCGAAACGAGCCTCTCCACAAACGTGATTAAAATCACATTCAATTAAGAAATGCTAGCGGAAGGAGAAGGAGGAGGAAGAGGAAGAGTAGGAGGGAAAGTCGATAACCACTAATGAAAAGAGCAAGCGGTTAAGCGAGATACGTCACATTCCCACGTGAAAGTCGTATTACCACTGTAGATAAATTACTTGGACCGATATATATTGCAAGAGGCAGCTACATGTGTGTGTGTGTGTGTGTGTGTGTGGTATCTCTCCTTCTCTCTCTCTCTCTCTCTCTCGCGCGCGCGCGTGCGCTCGTGCGCGTGCGCTCGTGCCCTCTTGATGGTTAGTCGGTTTCTTGCTTATATTAATCAACCGCGCTCTCTCGAAATTTGACCGAGTTATGTTCGATCCACGGAACTTGGTAACGTTACCTATTCCGATTCACCTGTACACAAACTTGGCGCAGCGATACGAGGGTGGCACTAAGACGGACATTAAGTCTCCACGCGAGGGAACTTACTTGAGAGAATAGTTTAAGTGCCTTTCTAGACGGAGCTCCTCGTCAAGGCGCTCGTCAAATAATTAATGCCCTCCACTCGGGTTCGCGACTGCGATGTACCTCAGAGCCGCATACTCTCGCGCGCGCGCGCACACACACACACACACACACACACACATACACATACATATATACAGTCGAACGCTTCGACGCGTTCATTTCGTTCCCTTTGAACGATGAAGATATTGCCTTACGGGCTACTCGTCGCGAAGGACTCGCGCGGAGAAGGTTGTTCGTGGGTCGACAACCGTGAGGAAATTGGGGGAAACGAAAAGAGACGTCGTTGGTTTCTCTCTCTCTCTCTCTCTCTCTCTCTCTCTCTGTCTCTCTCTCCCCCGAGAATCGGCCGGCAGCCGTGGCCGTACGGATCTCGTATCGCGAAACGAACTTTCAGACGCGAGAACTTGCCTGACCTTGTTCGGGTATCCGTTGTATCTGAGCAGCTTCTTGCAACACTTGCCGCGGTTCTCGTAGTAGAACATCTGCACCATCTCCGCGCGGTCGGTCGCGGCGCTCACGGTGAACGGCGCCGAGTTCCTGGACGACGACGGCGGTTGCTGCTGCTGCTGCTGTTGCTGTTGCTGCTGTTGCTGTTGTTGCTGGGCCGGCGACTGCCGACGCCCCAGTGGCACGCACGGGCACCACCCTGAGACCATCACACCGATCGGGCCCGCCGGCCCGATTCGCCACAGCCGCGTCGAACCTCCCTTCGCTTCGTCCCGTCGTCGACGATCACTTCCTCCCGTTGGAGAGGAGTCTCCTCATGATGTCTATCGCCGACTCCTGGCCACCGTCGACGGCCACCCTCGCGTGCGACACGCGCTGCTTGGGCTCGCCGAGACCGTCGGGCCGTGATGAGGTCTCGTTGGGTCTCGTGTCTCTTCCTCTCTTCCTCTCTTTCTCGTCGTCGCAAGATTATCGCCGTTTCCTCAGCGCATATCCGAGACTTTCACCAGGCAGACGACTCTGTGGCGATGAGGACGCTTGTCACGCGGCGCGAATTTGGCAAAGGTCCTTGTACTACTATCTGACGGTGCTTTTGGCACGCCGGGCTACCCCCTCCCGGAGAGATCTGAAAGAAGAAACATTTCGTTCTTTCTAACTGCGCTTCTTCCTGCGGAGCGCCAACGCGGATTGTAATTCGACGAAGGTGTTATTCGAGTCCGACTAAACTGTCCTTTCCATTCGAATAATTGGACGACGACTCTTTCTGCTCTCCTTTTCTCGCGGCTTTCACTAATATGACGAGCGAAGTGTGTTTCTTGCGGGATTTCTGGCGAGAATTAATCCCGAAGCGGGTCAATTAAATTGGAGCCCCCTCGCTCCCCCGCGCGCACTTCGGGACGAAAGGCAGCGACGGCGGCGGCGGACGTCAAGGAAAGAGCGTATCTCCTGCCGGGACGTCTGCGCTGCAGGCCGTCGTTTTCGTCGCGTCGCACCGAATGCCATTCGCGCGCTTTTAGACTTTCTGCAGGGGAGTGTCTGATTAAATCCGCGCGCGCGCACGCGGCTGTCGCCCCGAATTCCTGCCGGATCCATTACCGCTTACGAAAAGAGAGCGTACTACTCGTAAATCAACGGCCGTGCGTTAGAGATTTGCCGTTCGATCTCGACTTGAATTAACGACCGGCGCAAAAAGCGGCCGGATTGATAAATCGGCGGACAGACGACGGATAGACACGCGTGTGCGCGCACGCGCAGATGGATGAATCCTCCCCCGCGATAAAAAGCCCCAAGGAGAGAGAGACCCGCAATGAGATAAACAGATATAATTTATTTAGATCTCGGCTGTCTCTCTCTCTCTCTCTCTCTCTCTCTCTCTCTCTCTCTCTCTCTCTCTCTCTGTCTCTCTGTCTCTCTCTCTCTCTGTCTCGAATCCAGGCGATACGGGACCGGGGGCGCGGCGAAAGAACCGGGGCGACGGTTTATCAAGATCGACGACGATGGACGGTCGGTGCAATTACGTCGAGTGATTGAGTTTGAAATTGAAGAACGATACGCGAATCATAGATTACTTCGCGGAGACCGATCGATGAGGATTGTCGCGTCGTGCCGGGCGGGTGGGTCGCCCGCGTGTGTATGTGTATGTGTTTTATTTCTTGATAAAACAAGATAAACCGGCTAAACCCGGCGTGGGGCGACAGCGATGGCGGCTCGTAAAGATGAGAAAAACAACGCGGAAATTTGCAATTCATGAGAAACGTCGTTGTCGGCCGTGCGTTAGTCACAGAACGCGCGACCTAATTTAAGAATGGAAAATTTGCGGCGTGCCCGCCGTCGCCGCCGCGGCTTATAAGCGCGTCGTACTGCGCAAACATCATTCGGCTTACGGAAAATAACGAGGAGGGACTTTTCCACCACCTTCCATTCCGATCGCGAGGAGGTAACATCGACAATTTCGCGGAGGAAGCGGTTTTCTTGCCTTCCTTGTCTTCTTAACGAAAGTTCGCCCTCGAAATTTCGTTTCGTGTGTGTGTGTGTGTGTGTGTGTGTGTCGCTCGTTTCGCTCGCGAAACCTACAAAGTTGCGAGATCAGGTACGCGCGTCACACGACGGCGAAGATTTCGGGCAGAATTTTCCACGAGGAAGAAAAATACAAACGATATCCTCGAGTCGTCTCGTGCAACACGCACATTCGCGTTAGTCCGGAAAATTAATTAAGGAATGATTTATACATATATATATATATATATATCCAGCGACGGTGCACCGTGTCCGACGAAAGGGCGAAAGACGCCCCTTTCGCGTTCGCCGAGACAAAGCCGATCGCGTTTCCCAAGGCGGCGGGTTTCCGCAGTTTCCTCGTTTCGAATCTAATTTCTGTCCGACCTCCTCGTAATACGAGGTCGCGCGAGGTGCCGAGAGGACGCGCGATAAGTTTGCTTTACGGTCGCGCCAGATGACGACGCGAGCCCCGTTTAATAAAGCGAAGGCCGAGTAGCTGCCGGAGAATGCCTTCCATGGACTCTCCCCCCTCGCTCTCTCTCTCTCTCTCTCTCTCTCTCTCTCTCTCTCTCTCTCTCTGTTCGTCTCATTCCTTCTCGTTCTCTTGAACTTTCTTGTGCTCTGTCGCACACGGGTCACCCGGTACACGTCGTAATAGAGAAGGTGGTCAAATGTGCGCGGAATGACCGAGACGAATAAGCTGCGGCGTTTAAACGCGGAAACGGGAATTTCCGGTCGCGTCGGTGTGTCCATTGATATGTTAGTCACGATTAATTCGATTGATCTCCCTGTCTCTCTTTCTCTATCTATCCTTTTCATATTTATATAAACTAAACAACGGATATGATTGAATGTAAATCTAAAATTAATTAACGTAGACCGCGGTTGTGTGTCTCGGACAGAATCGTCGCGAGCATGGAGAGCGCAAAACACGGGAGCGGGAGAAAGCGCCAAAGAGGAGTCAGCGGATTTTTCGAATTTGCGGCGGCGTTGAATTGCTAACCAGTATCAGTCGGAGGTGTGTGAGAAATTGCAGGTGATGAACATTTTACGAGCCTGCGAATGAGGCGGAAGGGAACTTCAATTATTCATGGGTAACTTGCGGGTTGCTTTCACCTCGTAAGAAAGTGAACCTGTTAGATAAACGTTTATCGTAGAAGAGAAAGGGAGAGAGAAAGGGAGAGAGAGAGAGAGAGAGAGAGAGAGAGAGAGAGAGAGAGAGAGAGAGAGAGAGAGAGAGAAGGAGAAAAATATATTCTGATAATGTTCTGATCATAAGGGATATTTTTGTACTTTTGAATAAAACGCAAAAAATGCGGATGTGGAAACAATGGGAACTCTCGACGCGGGTGTGCGCACGAGTGTATTTCTTTGTAACATTTTAACCGGCTGTCTCTCTCTATCTCTCCCAGGGCTCATTTGTCCGCTGATGCAACGATTTTTCACCGCGACATTCCCGGGCTTAGGACTATCCCCGGGGAGTTTCACCTGCTCTCGTTTCGTTCGTGGCCGAGTGGTCATAGATTACTTACTGAAGCAGAGTCGCGAGATTATCTCTAATCCCCGACTTTATACCGCGGTATAACGCGCCGCATGAAAGGCGGCGGATAGATTATTTTAGGAGGCGTCTACCTTTCGCGGATAGCCGACGGCCTCTAATTATTGAGTTAACGACGGCCCGACATCTTTCGCGCGCGCGAGGAAAGTAGATAACGGAAGCATGTGCAACCGTAAATTTTCGACAATGCACAAAGAGACAAAATAATAAATAGATTTATATGGATGGATAGTTGGATGTCTTTGTCTAATGTCTTGTTCCTTGCTTTTATATCTGTTTGAATGTTGAGTGGATGAAGAGTCCATCACTGCCGGACGAGGCATCCCATTCGATCGCGAACTAGTTCGATGATTCTGATTGAATAAGTTCCGTGCAATTTCTCGCCGCTGTCGTCGTCGTCGTCGTCCTCGTCGTCCTTGTCGCTGCCGTCGCCGTCGCCGCCGCCGCCGCCGTCGTCACTCGGTTTTCCCTACGGTCCGTAACTTTTCGGGACTGGCTGACAGTTCAGGCGCGGATTTCTGCACGAAAGAGCTAACTCGACTCGACCGGCGGTCTCGCCGGAATTGCTTCGTACCGAGTACCGCCGCCGACCGCTAGTAAAATCAACGACGAGATCGATTTTTCGATAGGTCGGAGTTTAATTAAATCGCGGAGCGAAACTTGGACGTGGCGATCGCGGCCGAGGGATCCGTGAAGGCTGTAAAAAACCGTCCCGGAGATCGAGGCTCTCTGTCTCTCTCTCTCTCTCTCTCTCTCTCTCTCTCTCTCTCTCTCTCTTTCTTCGCGGAGCCGCAACGCATCGCGGCTAATCGACCATCAATAATGCCCGCGCTAGAAATCGTGCGCACGCGATTCGGCGCGAATCGAAGCATATCACTTCCGACTCAACATCGAACGGAGGTGAACGAGAAAACACGCATTCATATGAAAAAATAATATTTATGCAATATTGAACATTCAATTAGAGATATTGAATTTGAAGTGCGCATCGTCATTAAAGCGAAAATCACGACTCTTCAGCGGTAGCGCGAGCGTAAACGCTGAAAATGACAAAGCGTCGCGATTTTTAATTGCTCGGCGGCTCCATAAACTACGACCTAACGAGAACAAATTCTCGGTTTTCCATATTTAATTTTTACGTCGGTTGGCGTGGGGTAGTGTGGGAGTGAGCGAGCGACTGGAGGGTGGACGGGAGGAGGGGGAGGGCTAAAGTGGCGATGACACGGCGCGAGAATAAAAGCGCGAGAGAGGCGGGTCGCGACGAGTTCCGCGGCGTGTATTTACGAAAAAGTTTGTCGGGATATTCCACGGGACCGTTGTGCGAACCGGTTATTATGGGCGCGCGCTTTTTTCTACCTCGAGCGCGCGTGCGTTTGTACGACGCGCGCTCGTTAAATCCGCCGCTTCCTCTTTCAGCACCGTGCCTTCTCTCCTCCTCGCGCGCGCGCGCGCGAGAGAGAGAGAAAGAAAGAGAGAAAAAGAGAGAGAGAGAGAGAGAGAGAGAGAGAGAGAGAGAGAGAGAGTTCGGCGAGTTTTGTAACGAGCCGCCGGGCGCAAAGTCACGTGCGTGGCAGCCTCGTTTCCGGACTTTATCAAGCGGCCGCGATAGTTAATCGTCGCGAATAAACAGCGTGAGTCGGCGCAAAGCTCCACCGACGACGACTAATGTAAACTCGTAAGGAACGATCACGCGTGACGTGCAACACGCGCGCGCGCGCGCGCGCGGAGAAGGCGAGCGAGGAGAGGCTAACGAGCACGTGCGCGTCGAGTTCAAGTGCTCGGAGAAGTTCAACGTGCCGGAGCGAAGTGACAGAAGGCGAGGGAGAGAAAGGAGCTCGAAGGGAGCGAGAAAATGGAGAAACGAAGCGCGCTACTCGGAAAAGAATCGGACTAGCTACGATACCGAGTCTACGATCGGTGAGCTAACGAGCGGCTTACAAGTCGCGGTTAATTCGGCCGCTGATACGCGTCCGCGGATAGGGGAAAAATCGCAGTCAGCCTCGCAGGAGAAATAAAGGCTCCTAACTGAGCCAAACGTATCATATTCATCTGCAACACACCCCGGCCGACAGTTTGATGCATGGGACTGCCGCGACGACGCGGGTGACAAGAGCAAAAAGTTTTTCTCTCTGTACTTCTCTCTCTCTCTCTCTCTCTCTCTCTCGCTCGCTCTCTCTCTCTCTCGCTCGCTCGCTCGCTCGCTCGCTCGCTCTTTCGCTCTCCTCGCGTAGTAATCCCTCTTCGTTTCCCGAGAAATCTCATTACGGAAAAGTTTGAGGGAAGGCTCTGCCGCGCGTCGCGCGTCCTACTCTAGAGCGCCATCCTCCCACGCATACAGTAGTCTACGGTGCGTGGAAATTGCGAGCGCAGAAGGAGAGAATCTCTCGACAAAGAGCGGAGGGCAAGAGAGAGAGAGAGAGAGAGAGAGAGAGGGAGAGAGAGAGAGAGAGGAGGGAGGGAATCATATTCTTGTAGCCATTGTCGGAGATAACTTTTCGCGATATCCTCAACGGGCTCTGCCGAGGAGCGCGTTGAATTTAAACTTGTTGCGACCCTGCACATCGTGCGCGAAAGTAGCTCGCCCCACACCTCCCTTTATTAACTTTAATATATTTAAATTGATAATAATTCATTTACAAGCGCCTCCTTTTTTTTTTCGAGACACCACGAATTTGCTTCCTCGCGAGATAAAAAGCGCGATACGGAACGTGGCTGGCGAATTTAAACCTGTCTCGAGTCATGAATGAGACTCACTTCTCCTCATCGTCTCTCACGCGAGGAAATAACACACTAAGAATATTCAAATAGGAAGAGAGTAAATGCGATTCTTTCCCGAGATAGCTAGCTCACTCTGTCGCCTACGACAGCAGGGAATTCTAATTTCGACGGACCGAGTGCGAATCGCGAGACGAGTCGCGAGCGACTGCGGAGGACTTTTCCTGTATCGCTGTGGAAACAGTTGTCATTATTGAGAGACTGCGAATTATCGTCATCGCGTCCGTCTCGCACAGCTGAGGCTACTCGCGAGACGTCGGTTCATCGGTACCAGCTGATTGCGTTACCCGCCGCGCGGGTAACGAAATCGCGACAATAGAATCTCAGAAACGCACCTCCGTTCGACGGATCTCCGATCCCGATCGAATCCAAAATCCTGGCGAGGCGAGATCTCGAAGTCGTCCTGCTCTCTTTCTTTCTCTCTCCTCTCCCTCTCTCTCTCTCTCTCTCTCTCTCCCCCCCGAAAGCGTGTCGACCTCGATGTACCGTCGTAGCCTGCTCCAACTCTCGAAGGTAGGAAGCCAACCGGCGCGCACACACCGTAGGTGCAACTAGAGCTGCCGGATATTACATCTCGAATTTCCGCCAGTCTTAATCCTGCCGCCACGCGCCCGAGACATCCTCTCGCCTGCCTCTGTCTCTCAAAGAGGATCGCGAGGCATCTCTCGCAGAATGGGATCTCGCGGAGGGATGTCGAGAGTGACTGGCACGACGAGAGTAGGAGCGGAGCGAGCTGATACGACAGCCGGCAGAAACGAGGACGAGGACGCGCGCGCGACAGAGGAGGAGAAGAACCCCGAGGACTCTATTGTATTCGATCCGTAGCCAGGTCGATCCTTCCGCCTCGCAGGATAGCAGGAGGAGGACCGTGTCGTGGCTCTCTCGAAGGGTATCGCGCGCCGAGGGGAGGGCCAAGTATGAGAGAGAGAAAAGGTAGCCGCGCACACTTGACACGGACGCGGCTCGGTCGCGTTTCAGTCGACGTACGAACGCGGACTAAAGCTCTCGCGCGGACGGGCGCTCGTCGTCACGTCGCGTCGCGTCGCGCGACGACGAGAAGCGGTAGCGCGCTTCCTTCCCTCGTCGTCTCGCCCGTACGGCGCAGGGCTGACTGAAGCCGCGGCGCCGAGCGCCGCCGTAACAACCCCTCGCCGGCGTGAGCCTGCGTTCAGCCGTGTTGCCCGAGTGGCGCCGATCTCGCGCTCCAACCCCGTTCGTCCCGGCCGGAGGATTTTTGCCCGTCGTGGTGATCGTTCGCTTGCGAGGGAGAAGTCGCGGGATTCTCTACAGCTCCCGTCGAAGGAACTATCGTTGACGCCGAGGTCGTGGGCTTGGGAGGGGGATGGACGCCCTTAATAGCCGGCCGAGGTCGAGAAAGGGAGGGTCGGGTGTGGGAATTTGTAATGTCTGCGTGTACGTGTGGTCGAGCACACCGAGTGATGCAATTGCGCGCCTCGATTCTCGTATCTTCATCTTTATCTTTCTCATTTCATCCCGCAACGGTTCTGCCTTGTGAACTGCTACGACTCGCCTGTTTACACGTTTAACTGTTAGGGCCGGTTGTTCTGCCAACTCCTTGAAGTTGACCGATAAGTTAAGACCGATGGTTAAATCATATATTTATCTTTGTTTCTCCTTCAATTTAAACGAAGACAGAGATATGATGTAACTATCAAGAGGGAGGCACGGTAATGCCTCGCGCCAAGTTCAAGCGTAACGTAAGTTGCGCCCGAACGACGCGAGGCATACCGTGCATATATTACGCAAAACTGCGAGTCGAAACAAGGTGAGATATTCATATCTCAGCAATGGATAAACCGATCGAGGTTTTTTTAGTTCTAATCGATTCGACCTTAAAAAATAGGAAGAAAAGTGTCCTTGTGTTTTTTTGTGTACGTTGTCTCTAAATGTCTAGATATTTTAAGATAAAGTCTAAATCACGGAAAATTTCGATTCAGTAAGAAAGTGAGAAACACTAGACCGCAGAGGAGAGGGGATTTATGCATCTCACTTTTCCGACACCAGGGGCGGTGCAAACGCGCTGAAAAAGCAGCGAATGCGAGCGAGCAAGCGATAGAGAGTAAGAGAGAGAAGAATATTGCTAGAATACAAGAGTAGAAATGTGCGAGTAAGAGAAAGAGAAAGAGAGCGAGAGTGAGAACGAGAGAGAGAGAGAAAGAGAGAGAGAGAGAGAGAGAGAGAGAGAGAGAGAGAAACCAAGACTTTTTGCATTAAATATTTTTTATTGCATTATTATACTAACTAATTTCTAGTGTTCTAGTAAATAATGAAGACACTGTTTTTGAAATACCGGACTCTGTATCATTGGGAGTTTTCGATACATTTATCTTCAGATTGCAAATCGCTCTCATTTGCAGAGTTGATGTTGAGTAAAGTTTTTCAGTTGATACTATTTTGTCATTTCATTTTTTTGTAGAACAGTTTTGTACAGTTTTATTTATAGTATTCAATAGAAGAACTTATTGTTAGAGATATAAGTTTTACTTGTACAAACTTATTACTTGTATAACGAAAATAATAAATTACATTGCCCAAAGATACACGCTCAGATGCACGGTACTAAAAGTGTAAACATTGCCGTTTATATCATTTCTTTTGCAAAGTAATATTGTAGAGTTTTATTATATTTATAAATTTTACTTGTAAAATTTTATGTTACATATATAACTTGAAAAAAAATGATTTGAAATTTCTAAAAATAACACAATGTGTGTTGCGCGTGTACTTGGCGCCACTTTTTACCTTTTTGTTTAAAAAGATAAGTTTTATACAACGTTACGGGCTCTCTGAGACGCGTCCCGGCGGGACAAGGTCACGTGACTTCGAATGTTTATAAGTACGTGATTGCCGCGACCGTTTCCATTATTGTTTACGCCGCGGCGGCGGACGGATCGGCGGATCGCCGCGCGTATATATAATTTCCGAATTTTCACACTCGATCACAGTGTAAATTTGTATAACGCGCGTGTAACGTGTAATATTCGTGCGTGCGTGCGTGCGTGTGTGTGTGTGTGCGTGACGATCCGGAGCATCTTCAACAATAGCAGTGTTTGATGGTCTTTAAAGGTAAACTTCTATTGATTAACTTGGTTAAGTTGAAGAAGCTAATTTGTAGCCTCGAATCTTCGTACTCTTGATGCAGGGCGCATTTGTCGCTGTAATACTAATGAGGAAACTCGTTTTTTGTTGTAGATCTGCTGGAGTTTGCAGCCACGCTGCGGTTATCGGGACGCAGTTTCGACGGACGCCGATGCCGCACCGGAGGATCCGGTTCGGGCCGAGCAGAGTCGGCTTGAAGGTGAGGTTCACTGATCGTTTGTACATTTCTTCTTAATTCATTGCGATCGAAAACCGAGCGATTGGAATAAAAGCCGTTGAATTACAATGGCAAAAGATCAACGTTTGTATCTGCGCGCGCGCTTCTGCGAATTGAACTCAACCTAATCTAATTTTTAACCTAACGGTTTAACTAACGAAACTATATTTTTTGTTACAGATCCGCAGCAGAACGCGGCTGACTCTGTCTGCTGTGTATCGGTGAGTCAGAGAAAAAAAGACATTTTTATGGTGGTGGATATTTGCAATATCTCGAGAAAATTAATGCGATTTAATTGTACTTTTTTCACACGTTGCTCGAAATAATCAATTTCAATGACCGTATTACACAACAGAATCTTTAAGATATAATATATATTTCTCTCTTTTATATTTACTCTGAATCATTAGAAGATACAGATATAAATACTTTATTATATTGAAATCAAGATATGGAATTATTTGCTGCGATTCAGTCAATATAACTCCTGCTTCGAGTAGTGTGTAATGTTAAAATTTGATCAGAATTGCGCCATCGCACGTGAAAATCACCATTATTTATCCTATTTGGCTTGATAAATTTTATCTGTCTGTCGAGTTTATCAATTTTCTACATTTTTCACGTGTGTCAGAAGCGGTAATATTTCATTTGAAATTACGATAAATTCGGTACGCGCGTTTATTTACGTTACAACTTGGTCCTTACGAAACAAGACGTGCGTTTCTCTCGAATTACCGTTCGCGAAACAAAACATTTTCGTTTTTTCTCTCTTGTCTAAACGTATCGTAATTTTCATTTGCGATTGATTCTACGCGAATCGCGTCTCACATATACATTCTCGGAACGTTGCAATTTATCGTGTTTCTTTTTGGGATAAAAATCTCATCTCTTGAACGCGACCATATACGCGCTTCTTTGTCTCGCCATTTCTTTCCCTTAAATCCATCGAAATTAATGAAAGAGAAAAGATAAACAAAAAGAAAAAAAGCGACAAAATATTGTGGATAAAGAAACTTGTCCTGAATGCTGAGGAGATTGGACAATTGGACGGATGTAGAGTCACAAGAATCAATGAAAATCTGTGAGTGTGTAGATCAAACGCTCAGAAAGCGTCATGTTTTATATTGCATACCCATATATAAATCGCATTGGTTTTCGGCCAGAGATAATAAAAAATAGTGCGCGATAATATGCGTTCATATCTGGTTTAATAAAAATATGAAAACTGCGAGAAGCACTGTTTGTTTCCTCTTTAATCATTGCGGAAATATTTATTCTGCGAGAAATTATACGCGGAACCTTGAGAGTGATCGATAAGATATATATTTGACTGAAAAACTATACTGATTGCGCTGAAGCTGGCTTTCTTTTGCAAAACTTTATACGAATATTAATCTGATATTTTGTGCATAATATTTATGCGCAGTGTCAATTTAAAAAGATTTAACGGATCACTGCTACGGCAATCTCTTCCTCAATATACACCGACATTTTTTTCTCATGCGCGTGCTTCGGCTTCGAGCTAGCAAAAATACTAACGACCGCGTTCCTCGTCAATGTGACCTCGGCGATGTTACATCTCGGCAGGCATGATCCCGTGCTCGTTGTTTACGTCCGATAATTTTCAACATGTCCATTTCTTTCCGCGAAGGCGCGGTTGATCGGTTAACTTACCAAGGAGTTGGGACAATCTGCCCTCAGACATTTTTATCTGAAATCTCGCGCATCCGGTAGCCGCAGTAACCAACGATGATGTATGACACAATATTCGGATATGACAAAGGTTATTTATACGAGGGGTCGTTTATGTTGTTTATTCCCAAAGTAATTATGAGACTTTTGGAAAACGTATCCGATAGACGACAAGAAAGAGGGGAGGGTAGTACATGGAAACGTGCAATGTCTATATTGCCGCGGGAAATAATACCATAATTTGTTTATACATACTTTCTGCCGCTCTCTCGCTGATTGACTTGATTACGCATGAAGCGATTATTCAATGTTTTGCCGTAAATTCTCGCTCATCCGGCGCCGGTAGTAACGTCAACATCATTATAACCGGTGTATCTCTCGCGCTTCGCAACGGGAGTCGCAATTCGCGAGATCCTCCGGGACTCACGATGTCGCGGCGATTGTCGTGGTATACCGCCGGCCGCAATTCGCGTGGCTCGAAAGGTATATTAATAAACGGTACACAAGACAGGAAACGGCTTCTCCCTTTGCTTTTCCATCCTTTGTGCCTCTATCTCGCCGGTGCTTTTTCTTCGTTCCACTCTCGCGTATACCGTGTAAGTGTGCGAATATAGTGTGTGTGTGTGTGGTGTGTGTGTGTGTCGGGGGAGGGGAGGGGGGAGGGGGAGGTGCAACGTGAACGTGCCTCGGTACATCTCCGACCTAGAATATCACCGTTTCTCCCGTTTCCTCAATTCTCCGCCAGCTCCTCTTATTTTCTGGAAAGGAAAACGAGCGCGAGTTGGGCACTCCGCGTCTGCAAGCACTGTCTACGAGTCGCTTCTTTGATATCTATCTGTCGTTCGTCTCTTTTACCTTTCTTGTTCCCGCTCGCCACCCGCCGCCGCAGTCGTCGTCGGCGCCGCTGCGGTGGTCGCGTTTCCGCCCGGTATATTTTGCTCCGGGGTGCTCGACGTTCAAACCGACGTCCAACTCGGGGTCGCCGGAGCCGCCAGAAAACACGTCCGACTGGCGTCCATTTCTACGTCCGTCACGATCTCGTAACCCGTTTGCGCCCATTTGAGCCATCCGAACGTGCTTCACGATGAGAACGTTGTTCCCGTACCGAGTGTGGCGCGGGAATTTTAAGGGGGCGAAATTAAGAGAGAGAGAGAGAGAGAGAGAGAGAGAGAGAGAGAGAGAGAGAGAGAGAGAGAGAGAGAGAGAGAGAGAGAGAGAGAGAGAGAGAGAGAGAGAGAGAGAGAGAGAGAGAGAGAGAGA